GGAATTTTGGAGCTGAAATGCTGGAGTGGGTGGGTAATGCTCTGCCACCTCATGGGCTGTAGATTGCAAGTCCTACCTTGATGCAATTGGTAATTTTGGTGTCCCGGCACTTTAGGTGTCAGGTGAAAGTACTGAGTTAATAACGGTAAGAACTGAGGAAGCACATGGATGGTTGAGTAAGTGTCGTGGGAAGATTTGAAATATGGATGATGCTCCTAAAACACTGCTTAGGGATAATGTTTGTGGGGAGAGATGAACAAAGGTGGTGGTACAATTGAGCTTCTACAGAAGGATTCACTAAGAGTCGTGTGCTTTTACAGCTTTTCTGCTAGAAGATGGGCCAGTTTGTTTTGCCTTTGTGGGGTTGTCAGGAGTGGTAAATTCTTGTTGTGCTGTTGCATCCATTGTACCTGCTTAGAGATCAAGCCTTAATGAAATTGATGCTCTTTAAGAAAACAAAGAGTTAAAGTGCTGGACTTCATGCCATATTGCTGCTGATGTTGTTATCCATAGTGTTCTGTGGTCAAGAGAAGCTTTTTCAGCTGTTGAATTAAAAAAAAAAAAGAAAAAAGTTTATTCTGTCTACCTTTTAAATACTGAATCTTCCTTTAGTCTCCTGGGAAGACTGTAATTGAGTTCTTATTTAATGGATCAGGCTACTAATAAAATGTGATGGACAGCATCACAAATATATAAATAAAAGCACAGGTATTTCTTGGTCAAAATTAACATTGGAATCACTGCTTTCTTTTTCAAGGAAATAGATTGAAAAATAGATTTTATGTTTTTTTAAAATATGCTTACATTTTCTGTGTAGCATTGTTTGACCTTCTGACCCAGAAGCTTTACAAAACGTTCACAGTACTGTGAATTCTTCCAGTAAAGGAAGAATCTGTATTGCAGTGAGGGTTTTTGATGCAGTCCTGTTTACTGAGAAGAAAATCAAGAAATGGTGTCTCCGTCTGGGCTTTTAAACCAATACTCTATGCAGAAAGGTGTCTTGAGTATCTTGTAACAAGACTGACATTCTTAGTGCTTATCTAAATTTCTTCTGCTCCCTTGATGTATTCTTTCTTTCCCTCTCCGTGCTCAGAAAAGGATTAAACGATGGGTAGGTGGAGCTTCCTCATGCATATGTAAAATACAAGGTGATACGTATCTTGCGTTTGCTCTTTGGGTATCCTGGTCTTTGGAATGAAGCCACTTCACTTTATTACTTTTAATCTCTTACAAGGTTGGTTACAAGCTGCCTGCTATGAGGTTTAGCTCAGCCTAGTAGCAATATATATGCATCCTCATTTATTTATGCATTTTAGAAGTACCAGTGTCGGAAGAATGCACTGTTAGTGTTTGGTTACAAGTACCTGCTCGCTTAATGATACAGGCTGCTGGTCTGCTAGCAGAGGAAGATGCAGCTGTAAAGTTCAGGCTTAGGAATTTGTACAATGAACACTTAGCAGAAGCATAATGAATGAAAAGCATCTGCTTGCTATGCAGAGCATTACATTGTTTTCTGCTTTCCAGCACACTCGGCTGGTGGAAGCATCCTTCTCAAATAGGACACCACTTTTCACTTAGTATCGTTAAAATTACTTTGTCAGTTTATAATTTAATACTTACAGAACTTTGACCAATATCAGGTGAAAAGCAAAATGAAGAGGCGTAATGGACAAGGTGTTAAAAGGACAGTTGAGCCTCTTATTTCAGTGAGGATCTGAAAAGGCTGCTTGGAAAGGTCTTTTGAATTCCCTAACATCACCTGTCCAAAATCACCACCCAAGACTGAACAAATCTTCCACAGGTAAGTATAAAAGCTCTTCGTTAAGAGCAGGAGGGAGCGAGACCTTCTAACAGTGCCAGAGCTGTATGAAGTCATTCATCCGTGATGCCAGCTGATGGTTTTTTCCTTCCTTAGTGGCTTTGATTGACAGTGTTGATATCGTAAGACTTCTTGCATTGTTTCTACATCAATCAGTTCCACACTTGGTATTGGAAACTCATCACTCCCTAGGTTTGTCTACTGCTGAGTGCTGTTCAACAAGCACAGTTCACAAGGGCAATAGCTGCGCTCTGGTTGTAATGAAGGCGTGTATTAGCCTGTACGGGTCTTGGAAATGGCTCCTGTTTGGAACAAGAATGTATTTGATTGAAAAGAGATGTTTGATTGTGACCCTGTTGGTACATTGCAATAAGAAATTCAGTAAGGCCTCTGTGCTGCTAACACTATGCTTGTGTCACAAATCCCGAATTGCAGAGAATCCAGTGCTCCTGCTACTTTGATCTTGTCCATTGAGGAAAAACAAGCAAACAAACAAAAAAAAGCCAAAAAAAAAGAGCAGACTTTTCTTCTGCCCTACACCAGACTCTGAGCTTAGTGCAATGTTGCTGGCAGGAGATGAAAAAAAGACTGAGTCAGCTCTCCTCAAAAATCAGATTTGGCTTTAAAGTAGTTATTTTTAATTGAATTCTCTTTTTCAAAACGATATTCATAAAATACAGAAGTGTATTTTATTTCAATCATGGGAACAGATCTTTTTAAATAAGTCTGGAATCGTACACAAGTGCTTGACCCTGGGAGCACACTGCTTAGAAATAAATCAAATCGCCAAATACCTGAATGCTAATAACTAAACTCGCTGGGCAGGCAATTCATTGCATGCCTGCTAAAGTCATCCTGAAGCAACTAATGAGCAATTGTGTTTGTCTGTTCTGTTGATTTTTAGGAGTATTTCAAGGTGAAAAAATTACTAGAACACCTTAGCAGATTTCAGGCTATGACATGTCCGTGAAGGATAAACCCAAGGGGGATTGTTCACAGTGTTACTGGTTGCCAGGTAAGAGCACTGTGTCTCTGATGTTTACTAAATATGCTAAAACTAATTTGTGGTTAAATTCTTTCATGCTTATGCGCTGAAGTTTCTGCTTGTAAGATGTGTAAGTATGTGTGACTGGTTTCCAGTGCGGGCTCTGTGCTCCTGTTGCCGCCCGAGCACGTGGTGTGCTTCCCCATGGAGTTTCGTGAAGCACCGTTACTCTCGCTGGTCAAAGGCAAGGCAGTGAAACCAGGTCTTAAAATTAAGTAAAGACACCCAGCATGTCTATTAAAAGAGGTTTAATCCAGCATGGTTTCTAAATATTAACCATGTACTAGTTTCCAGCTGTGACATGCAGTACATTTTTTTAATTAAAAAAAGAGAAATACAAAACAATTGAATAGAAAAATGAGCCCAGGTCCCCTGACGTCACAGTGTGTGCCAAGTAAAATATGACAATAGAAAAGAAAGAAACATGGAATTTCATACTGGAAGGGGTCTGAAGAGCTCTTTCTGGTAAAAGCAAAGATTATTTGTCACATTTGCAAGCAACTGTTTGTTCTGCTTTCATTCAGTGGTCTGGAAACGGGAGGTGTAGGAGCTGCCTGTTAGCCAACTCCGAACCTGGCCAGCACCTTCCCCAGCACCTGCTCGCCGTTAGGTACCGTGTTTCTGCCCGTCAGCAGCCAGCTGCTGGCAGGGAATTGGAACCCAAGTGGTAATTCTGTTCCAGAGGAAATCTGCCGTTATTGTTTTATCTCTGTTTTTAATTTACTCTGTTAGTACCATCTGCTCTCATTTTTATTTTTGTTAAAGCCACCTGTTCTGGTATTAATTTTTTTTTTAATTTAGGTCTATTTCAAAGAAACATGTATATCTGATGCTATAAAAAAGGAGCATGCCATGCTTTTTCCAAGCAGTATGCATTTATAGGTGGACAGGAATTTTTCAAGGTAGGTTGTGCTACCAATGAAAACACCTTCTTGTAAATTCAGAAGGCTTTTCCCCCAGAATTCTAGACCATGAGTTAAATCATGTTCTTCCAGGGGGGAAAGAAAAAACCCACAACCACCAACCAAACAAAAAAAAAAACCCCTTCCCTCCTCCCCCAAAAAAGGGGTCTGGGAAAATGAATTTCATTGCAGACACTCTTTAGTTGGGGGTTGGTGTTTTGTCTTTTCATAGTGGGAAGGATGTCTTGCCCTCCTGGGGCCCGGGTATCCCGCGCTGTACAGAAACAGTTGTCTGTTCTGCAAACCCAGCAGACCAAGCCCAGCGCAGCTTCTCACAGGACTGTCTGCAACGCAGAGCACGAGATCAGACAGCGGAATCTTGCACACACGGGTCTGCAGGCTTCGACAGGCAGATAACGTTGGATGGCATTTGGCAAGCCTTCCTTACCTGTGCAAGGGCTTCCACGCAAATGGTAGGAAGGGGCCAGAAAGATGATGCCTCATCTGTTCTGCCTCATGCCTGTGGGGAAACTGCAGAAGATGGGATGTGACCCCATCCAAACAGCTTGAAAAAGTGATCCTGAATGTTTGGTGAGCCACCGACCCTGCGGCACAGTTACACCTTGAGGTTTGTTCTTGCTGCAGATTTCCAGTTGTCAGTTTTTCGTGTCGCAGATAGGCAGTAGACATAGATGTATTGAAACCAATATGTTAATGATAATCTATGCCTTCAGTGCTTGACATAGTGGAATATTCAGACTTCAGATAAAGAAATACTGTTAGTTAATCAAGAAAAATACAAATAAAGGCATTCAGAGCCTCTCTTCTTTAGCACAGCAAGAAGTATAGAAGCTGTAAATGTTAAAGATTTGGAATTAAGAAAGCATATTAAAAGCTCCGCTTATACATGTAAAATACCGTGTTCCTGTTTACTCAGTACATTGTAGTGCTGAGTAAGGAGAGGCAACAGAGAATTGAGGTTGTTTGGATACAGATGTCCGTGGCAAGCTGAACTACTATAAAATCTGTAGTTTTGAAGGAGTGTCTAACGGCACTGGGAATAGTCTCCTTTTCCACATCGCTGCCCTGTCTGTGCTTTGGCGATTCCGTAAACAGGGAGGTGGAAAGAGGATACCAAGGCTGAAATACAGGAGATATTTCAATTGGCAGTGCATTCAGCAAAGAGGAAAGTGCTCGATCATCTTCCCTTCATGCTTGGCTGGTGTTTGGTTCTTCAGTCTGAGTCGGAATCTGAGTCCTCATCTGAAATTTAAAACAAGGAACAATATGAAAACGAAAACTGGAAATCTCCATGTCAGCTTTAGCTCTTGCTGGGAGAGATACGCTGCTCTTCGGCAGGTGTCTGCTTGTAAAGTGACAGTTCTAACATGATGGAGCTTTAAATGGTGTGTCAGAGGACTTGAGAAACGCTGCTTGGAGGCACTTGGATGACTACCGCGTAGGTAACGGTTCAGGTGAAAGAAGTTGCAGAGATATTTTTGTTAGCGTGACCACCAAGAGGAAGTCTGTTGAAGACACGGTTCCTGTACTAGAATATTGCTGTTTGCTGTGGGTCACGGTTACGCACTGCCAGTTAAACGTATTTGAAAACCAGAAGCTTTAAGACATTAAGAAATCCCAATACGCCTACAGAGGTACATCTTCCCCAAGCTTGGGACTTGACCTGCAAGGGAGTTCTGGCCTCAGCACGAACTTGAGTTTGGCACTGGAGGAACAGTGCTGCCAGGCAGAGCCTTTCTTGCATGGGCAAATCACCGACCCAAAGCGGCGTGACTGCGTATTTGTAACTTTATATATTTCTCTCTCCATCTCCAGGGAAATGTGATCTTATCTTTAGCCTAATTCTGTACCCTCGTTACCTGATCTTGAGGCCAGTTCAGTTTGTGGGGACAAACAGTTTTTAGTCAGTCTGTTTTCTATGATCTGTTCCTTTAATTCTTCTTTTGTCTCTCTTTTCAGCATAAAGCTTGCAAACCATTTAACAGTCTACTAAAATACCTAGAAAAACCTGTTAGCGTTACTATATGCCTTCTAGGATTCTGTACACATCTTGGGTGTGTGTTTTTGAGTTTTTTTTGTGGATTTTGATTATGTGGGGTGTTTTTGGGGGGTCTGGGGATTTGTTTAAGTGTGGAGCAGTCTTTCATCTGTGTGGGTGCAACAAGTAGTACCACAGGGGCATGATGCCTGGTTTGGGCTCCTGGATACTGCGAAATAACTACCTGTGTCCTGACTTGACTTGAAATAGGTTTGAACTCCCAACAGCGGGTCCCTCTTTTTATCTTTGTTATCAAATTTCTTTCTAATATAGGAGGTACAGTCTACCTCAGATCAGACAGATCCACTTAGACAATCTTGTTAATTTTATGCTGTGCGGCCCTTGGCTTTCAAGGCCATTTGCCCACAGATGGTCAAAGCTTGACCCTGAATAAGAGGTAATCATGATAAAGAGGAGGTAAACATGATAAAGAGATCATGAAGAGAAAAGCACTACAAGACATAAAAGACTCTGGACTAATGGATGTTAATAATTGAGTTCTTCAAAAACAAACATCTACTTTTTTTTTAAGTAAGACATTTTGATGGGAGGAAAGTCTGTGCTGCACAATACTTTCTGTAACTGGATTTGGGGCCTTTCGACATTAGATGGTGCAAAACTTGGAGAGACTTCACGTTCCTGGCTTGCTAGTTATCTTTATAAATCACTGAAATTCCAGCTGTATTTTAAGACTAAGCAGCTTCATAATTCAGCGTAGTTGTAGCATACAAAACCAAGGTAGTCAAGAATAGAAACTGTTCTTACTGAGTGAGTGCTCTTGCGCCCCTGTGAAGGGTGAAATGGAGAAGAAAATCTCACGTTACATGCTCGTATAACCAAAAAGGGGAATTTTACCTACCTTCTGACTTTTGCCCTTCAGGGGAATCAGAATTGCCTCGCTTGAGAAAAGCAATCAGGTCATTGAAGGTTATGTAGAAATCAATGGCATACACTATTGTGGCTATAAATCCAAACACCTAAAATGGCAAAATAATGCTGTCTTTAACAACAGGTCACGTCTATCAATGACAAACCAAAATAAGCCTAACAGACACAAGAAAATTCTGAAAGAAAACTTGGGCTTGATATTTTTGGCCTGTGCCTTTCTAAAAAGACAGGGAAGGGAAATGTCTTGACCCACTGGCATCAGCTAAATGACAGCTAATGCGGGAGCCTGAGTACCAATTCCTGCAGTGGCTCCATCAGATGCGTCCTTACCCCTTCCCCGGGCTACGTCCCTCTCTGGCTTTGCGCACATTCTGGGCATCAGCATTGCCCTGAGCTGGGAGCTACAGGAGACCGTAACCTGCACCTCCACTATCCCAGGGCATCTCTTTGCCGCCGAGAAATCATCTCGATTTTTCTGGAAATAGCGTTTTACTGATTTGCTGGGGGACTTGTCTATTGCAGAGTGAACTAGATTGAGATACAGTGATTCCGGAGTTACCTATTTAGTGTCAAAGAAGGAGCAGTGTAGCAAGAACAGGCTGGTTTTCAGTCTGAGAAGCTGGGGTAAATGCTGTGTTGCATTGCTCCACCTCTAAACCCAGTGACAAGATTAAAAAAAAAAAAAAAGGTCTTTGTTTTGAAACTGTGTGTGGCTTGGGAGGGCTTGGTAAGGGTTGCTGGCTAACACTACTGGGTATTGTTCTTCCTTATCTTTTAAAATTATTACACAAATTTTCTTTGTTGCATACGTTATTGATGCTTAGAGTCAAGTTGCAGATGGAGAGGCTGTATCTTGTTTCTGAACACCAAATACTGACGACGAAGGCAATCCGTATACTGGAGGGTAAAATGACACTGCTCTTGTTTCAACTCCTCCAAGTAAAACTAAGGAGAGGCAGGAGGTTGAAATTACTTAATTGAAACTGTTCTTAGTAGGTACAAATTTGATTTCTTTTTTATTATTCCCTCTGTTCAAGGATCTTGATGTTCTTTGAAGGAACAGAGAAGTTTAGTTCTCTGTACAGCTGGTAAAATTAAAGAGCAGAAGAAGTGCCTTCCCTAAGTAGTACAGTTAACGTTGAGCAGCACTGTTAGGATGAAAAAACTTTTCATTGATTCAAAACCTGTTTTTTCTAAATAACTGACCATTTCTTCCTTGCTTTAGGCAAATCTAATTCTCAGTTAACTGAGGAAACTTCTACTCCTTGCAATGGGGTCAAAATTGAATTGCTTCTAAAGCAAGTCCATATGCAGTTCACCAGAATACCGAAGTGGAAAGCTCAGGTCTACTTACTCCTGCTGCTTTAGATGCTCCATCATTATATTTTGAGACAGCAGCAACTGAGATGGCAAAGTAAATAATGGCAGCAGTGACGCACCACAAGAAATCCTGTGAAATAAGCAATGTTGCATTCTCAGATTAGTCATGTAATTCCAACATACAGACTCCTCTAAAACCGATTTCAGAAATGACCATTAAAAAGCTCTGTTGCTGCGTCAGTGGACTCGCCTGATGCTGCAGTGTGACTACAGCCTGGTGTGTTGTAGCAGATGAACTGCTCATCTGGGAAATATTTTTAAATGTGAGATGACTGGAATCTTGGCATAAGCTTCTGCTCTTACAGATGTTGCTATAAATCCTACTTTTAACAGGCGTATGCCAGTCTCAGGCTGAGAAGGGCTGTCTTTCTGGGATGTTTAACTTGGAGCGCAGCAAGGGCTCCAATGGAAGAATCATTTGAAATGCCTTAAGTGCCACCTTTAAGCAGAACTCCTGCGGCTCTGGAGGAGCGTACCAGTTCCCGTGGGGAACTGGCGTGTGCTTGTTTCTGTATAGAATTAGGGCTGTCTGTAGGAACTAAACACCTTGGTTAGTGTTTAAAACTATGATTTATACTTCGTATGTACACGTGTAACTCCAGTAGCTAGCCTGAAGTGAAGGTACCTGTTGCTGTATCGAAATATGTGCTTCTGTGGCTGAGACTGCAGCTCTGCAGGGCTGGGGCCATGCCCTGGAATACAAGCATGATGTGCTGGAGCAACAGGGTCTCTGAACTGTGTATTAAACAAGAGCTGTGATTCCCAGGGCATGTGTAAATCCTGTGATCTGGAATAATGGTATCTTGACCTCTGTTCACAATTAGATCCTTCTGCCTTTTCAGAATGGATGGATGAGTAAGATACTGTCTCAAAACACAAATCCTACAAGAAACTTGATTCTTCTGAAGCCAGGGCAAGGTCAGTTACCTACATTCTGTGGCTGGAGTACGTTACGGTAATGGACATAATAAACACATGAGTATTTTTCTTGTCTTAGTTCTGGAATCAGATGCATGTAGAAAACAGGAAAACGACGGAACTCAGATTACCAGCTGAAAACCATGCACAATGTCCTAGTCAAAGCCACTGCTATCGTTTTATCCACCAGTGGCCTTGCTAATGTTGTTTTTACACACTGAGAGCTCCAAATCAATTCTCCCTATGATGAAGTATTGCTAGACTGTACCAAAAGAGAATCCAGATCAATCAGATGAGCATTTTTTTGGCAGCCTCTGCACTGCTAGGCAGCTGCTCCCTGGACAAGGCATGCCTGAAGCCCCAGAGGCGTGCCCTGGCCAGCGTGCCATCATCACCGGTGGCTGCAGCATGGGGGATGCCTGGTGAATGAGCAGCCAGTGGGTCCTCTGTGGGCCTGAGCCCCTGCTGGCAAGAGCGGCAGGGCTTCCCCGGTGACAGAGGGAGCTGCCAGCTGGTCTGCGGGCGAGTGCGACTCGCCACCTCAACAGCGCACCTGAGAATCTGGAAGCATTTTGGTAAAGTATATGCGTTACTGTATAGTGTGCCTCAGTTTCCCCACTTGTAAGGGTGGCAATACTAAGGAGACCCCAGCAGTGGTCGGACTTAGGCTGATGTTGCCTGCTTCTGAAGCTCCAGCCCTAAACCATTTGCCTTCAGTAAAACCACACGTTATGCCAGCACCAAGAAAGCTATAGTCTGTAGTATGGCACAGTTTAAAGAGTGCTTTGGGACCCTTTGAATGAGAGGCAATACAGACGAGTTTCTAATAAGGGGGGAAGTTGTTAACAGTCAGCCTGAACTCCCGTATAGTCCCTTCTACTCATGTTATCCTGTACAATTAAATCTGTTTTTATATTGCACATTTCACTTACCATAAGAGGCCAGTACAGTCCTTTAAACTTCTCATTAAGTTTGGAGGCGTAAGCAAAAAAAAGAAACAGTGCCACCAGAAACTCTAGGAGTGGTGCCATCATGAAAGAGGCAGCTGAAGACGCAATGTAGCAGATAAAGATGATAAATGACAGCACCTAGAGCAAGGGGGAAACTCCAGTTATTCGCATGGAATAGCAGAGCCTCCAGCAGCTGAGCAGCTTTGAAGCGTTATTCTCCCTCTGTATTTCTGTCAGTGCTGCTGGTAATGGCATATCTTGCTTCCTAATTTTTTTTTCCATGGGCCAATTAATTTTCTTGTTTAGCATGGAATAAATCTAAAGTAATGGCGTTCATTTCAGTGCGTGTGACATTCCGGAGAGCTCTGTGGATTTGCACCTCTCCGAGTCAGTAATTTGCTCTGGACTGTAAACAGTTCCGACAACATAATTCTGAAAATAGAGTGGGGCATTGCCAAGCAAACAGAGCTTTAGGCTTTCAACCGTGACAGTTCTCATTTGAAACCCAAATCATCGCTCAGATAGCCCAAAGTAACTCAGCATTTATAATCTTCTTAGAGTTAAAAGAAAAAAGGCTGCTGTTGATGGGTAGAAAAGACCTGAGAATTAATTATTCTGTCATTTCTGAAAGTCTCTGGTTCTAGTTTTCCAGTGTAGACAGCTGTTTTAGAGAGTAATAGGACAGATAACTCCCCTAGATTTGTTGTATCTCCATCATGTTTCCTAACTCTACAAAGTAATAAATATGGCATTTGTTTTCCCATTCAACTAAAATACCTTTAGAATACCTCCAAGAACAGGCTCCAGCCCTGCTGCCTTGTGTGGTAACTGGTTGATGCTTTCTTCAAATTAGCTTAAAATAAAAAAAGTAGCTGGCACTGAATAAAACATGTTCCGCCAGTGTGAGTATTATGTGCTAGTTTACACCTGAGCTGCTCTATGCAGCCTTTCCTCTGAGAGACAAATCTCTGCCTTAGCAATGCTCAGAGATGCTTTTGGTCAATGTAGCAGCAGGTACTGTTTGAGCATTAGATTACAAGGATTTTTCTTTTTCTGAATTCTAAACTGAGACACAGACATTCTCACTTATACAATACTGAGAACAGATGTATTATTTTCCCCCAGATGGCATGTCTGAAGGCAGACGAGGCTTACTGAAAAGCAACTGGCCTGTGATGGTCAATGCATTTGCCTCATTAAATTTCAGACCTATGGATTTCTTTGTTTGCTGCTACCATGTGTTCCTGGGAACCACCTGTACCTCAAAAAAACAAATCATTATTATATGTGAATGAAAAGGCTTCTATAATAAATTAATTATAATTAATTAATAATTACTCATATGAGAGGTCAGACAGCCCTCAAATACATATATCAAAAGAGCCCATTTAGCTTTGGGGGGCAACTGAGCAGTTCAATCCTGTTGAAATAATTTCTTAATTAACAAGCCTGGGTTTTGGGGAAAGCGGTCAGTTCTTGACCAGGATAGTAGTAGCTAGAGTATATTGTTTTGATCCATTAGGACTGGGTGGTGAAGTTTGAAAGCATGTGACATTTTTACTAAGATACTATATTTATCTGAAAATGCCCATGCATTGTTCTGTTTTCATTGGGTTGTAAGAAACTGATCTGGTATGATACAGAGAGTTCACTTCTGCATTGATGCCTGTTACCTGTTATTATCTACCCTGTTTGCTATTACTTATCCTGTTGTTATTTGCTTATTGCTTACATAGCCTCTTGGCAGGTTTTTCTAGAGTTTTCATATAGCAGAGGGAGCTCATTCACTGCATCTTACCCTTAACATGGTTATTTTATTTCTGTGAATGGGAAGTGCCAAGTACTGTTTGAAGAGAAGTGGATGTAACACAACTTGAAAACTCTTGAGAGGAGAGAGGACAAATTCTTCCTCCTTCCTGTCACACTGTCTATTCTCTTCCCACCCCCACGGAACAAAACCAGAAAGGGCTGGACTTTATCTTTGTGAATCTGCCATGCTTACGTTTGTGGAACATAATTTAGACACGGTTTCACGTTTTCTTGATTTAAAAAGAAATCACCATGTAGCTAGGACACTTCTCCTTTCTTGTTCTGGTGTTTTAAGAACAATCTTTTTTTCTTTTTTTTTTGGCTAAAGGAAAGTGTGTGATAGCTGAGATTTAGAGACAGAGAAGTACGCAGGGACGAACAGCAGCAGGGAGGAGACGCATTCAGGGCAGGTCCCACCAACCACCCCCCTTTCAATAGCAGAACATCAGACGTGACCTAAACGTGGCAGATCTCTTATGAAAGGATGAAACACAGTGTTAAATAATACATCACACTACAGCAGTGAGGGGAGGCAGAGAGGCAAATTTCAAATATACAAGTTGAGGATGCACAGTAGAGATCACTTTGATCTCGATTCTGTTTGAGACAGCAACTCCTGTGCTCTGCCTGCCTTTATATAGAGAAAAAGTTTTTCTGTCGGAGCCGTTGACTGTTGGGTGAAATGAGGAGCCTTTGTGTTCTCTGAAGATCAGCCTTGCGGCAATTTGTGCAACTGAAAGTTCTGGCTGCCGTCCCTTCACCCTGATGGCCTGGGGCAGGTCTGCGTGGTCTGAAGCGCAGGGCAGTGCCCGAGACCCTGCTGTGACAGAGCTCAGGGCACACACAAAAAGTGCGGTGTGGCAAGGGCAGGCCACGGGCTCTGGCTCCGGTGCGATTCCTGCGTGGGTGCGAGGCGAGCTGCTGAGGTGGCAAAAGGATCGGTCTGAGCACTTCAGCTTTTGAATTCGGTCTGATCCGGAGAAGCTGGCACCTGGGGAAATACTAGTTGTCCATTTAAAAATCTAGATAACAGGCCAGTTACTTGCTCAGACAACCCCCTCGGTAACTGGTCGGATCACAGCAGTCTCCAGCTGCCTGTTCCTCAGCCCTACGAACAGTAGTGGGACTCTTTCTGTCACCACCAGAGTCAGTGGTGGGCTTGAGCCCAGCCCATCCCAGCTCTCCTCTCCTGACTCCACTCGACAGCATCCCGTTGTGCACGTCAAGGCCACATCAAAAAAAACCCCGAAGAAAACCCACTCTTGGTTTGCAAGAAGCTCCTTCATTTCAGTGGATTATTGATGGTAATAGTAAAAGGGAAAGAATCTGACGTGAACTGTGGTAATTGCTCTCCAGTTAAGCATGGTGCCTCCTTTCGAAGGCATTCAGAGACTGGAAAGGCCCAAGGAAGATTTCATGTGAAACACATACCTATAAAATAGTGGACCAGATTTTGAGAATGCAGGTTTGAAAGACGGTATTTTTGGATGCTGCAGCCTTCATCGAGGCAAGGCTGGCAGGAGCTGGAAGGGGAGGCAGGCAGACATTAGAAAGAAGAAGAGAAACAAGAGGAAGGAGGTGCCTGAAGGCTCTGTCAGGTGACGGCTGTGGTGCTACAGCTGCTTCTTTGCTTTTTGTTTTTTTGCCTCCCTGGTGGCTACGTCGCAGCCCAGACGTGGGGTTTGATGCCGAATCTACTCAGTAACGTGGGGACAGCCCTGTGTAATACAGGAGCCCACAAAGCTGTCGGCTTCTGATGATGTTTCTCATTTCTGTTTGTTTAGAGCTGATTTCCCCTGCTGACAGGTGGAGTGCAGGGGCTTCCTGAGCAATACGGGATGTTATCTATTACTGTCTCTTCTGAATTATAAAAGTGAGTAGGTATCTTGTTATCTTGCCTGACCATTTAATTGCAGTGCCACTAACTGAAACATTTGTCATCTAAAAATGTGGAAATTTTGAAAACATACCTCTCCTCCCACAACACAAACACTGATGTACCAGTCTGTACTCAGAAAGAATGAACACCGACTGACTTTACCAGACTTCAATGAGACAAACATCTGGCAAACTGCAAGTTGCTCTAAAAATGACAAACTCAAAAGGAACCTTCAGCCTGAACCCTCTCAAAACTGTCAGATGATCCACGGCACATCACACTTGTTCTGCACCGTTTTTCCTGAAGCTGTGCGTAGAGAAAGGCCAAGCAATGGAATCTTGTCACCTTTCTAACAGCTCCGTATCTACACTAAAAGAAAAAAAAAAAACCCAAAACCAACAGCTAGAGCGGAAGTTGGTGAGGCTCAATGCAGCTGCAAGTTCATTTCTAGCACTTTCAGACTCGGAAAGCACTGCTGCTTCCAGGAGGAAGAAAAAAAAAGTAGTGTTTTATCAGTTGTGTCCATTTGTATTTACACAGGGGGTTTCTTTTTCCTTTGGGATCACATCCTCAGCATTGATGGCAGCGAGGAGCCTGAGGAGTTCCTGCGCTGCTGCTGAAAGGTTACCAGCTCCACCACAGAGGAATATTTGGAAGCAGACAGCTGTAGTGCAGCAAAGAACAGAGCAGGATCCTTTCATAGCCTGACAGTGGTAACGTTATAAAAAATCCTGGAAAAAAAGAGGCCCGATTCTTCATTGAGCACCTTTTTTGTGGGATTGGGAATACATATAATAGAGAAAGAACTATTACATACTACTTTTTATTTTTTAAAGGAGCTTCTTTGGTATTGTGTTTCAGAAAGCAATTTTCTCCCATGTTATTATTACTTAGTATTTTGTTGCTGGGCTTCTTAAACTGGCCAGGCATTCTGAAGTTCTACTTTATCATGTTAACCAGCTCGCAGTTGAAGGTATGAACAGTAATTAGCTGCAATGGTTATAAAGCACTGCGCTCCTTAAGGGCGGGGAGGCTGCTGCGGCGCTGAGGTTGTGGCGGGGCGCGAAGGCGCTCATCTCCCCACGCAGGAGAGCAGACCCGCGGGTGCCCGGCAGCAGCTGGCACCATTGCACGCCATGCCACGTGCCGGGGCTCTGCTCACTGCTCACTTCCCCGCCGCGTAACAGAGCAGGCTGGCTTCCACCGTGTGGAAAGTGGCTGGTTATGATCTCTGTCGCACAGGAGCGCATTTGGTTCTTGTTTATCGGCAGAGAGAGAAGGCAGGTGGCTTAGCCATCTCTGCTGTTCAGTTACTCCTTCGCCATCGTTAGCTGTCGTGGAGGTGACTGTCCCCCCAGCGTTAGCTGCAAGGGTCGCCTTCGGGCTATGGACCCGGAGAAAAGCGCGGGCTCATCTTCAAAGGAGGCTTTACACAGAGCAGCTGGAAGCT